CAGATACTGTAGGATTTTGCACGCTGCTGTATTCTCAATGGAATGGGGGCACGGCTGCGTGTTAGAAGAGGGATGACGTGATTTGACTTACACTGTTGAAGTTTCACTCTGGCTCTTGCATGGAGAATTGTATGGTAGCAAGGCTAGCTTGGACACAGTGACTCTAATTACTCTAATTAGGATGTAAGACGATGGGAACAGAAAAAAGGTACAGTCAGAGGAGAGGGGATATGGGAGATTGTGGATATATTTGGATGGTAGAACGTGCTAATGGATTGGGTGGGAAGTCTTAGGGAAGTAAAGAATTTAAGGATGATCTCAAGTCTTTCGAACTCTGGCCGGATGTAGTTGCCCTTTACTTTGGGAAAATTTGCTTCCAGAATCTACATGACAAAAGCCAGGTTTCTTTTCACACATAAGAAAATGATACTTCTTTGGAGCTGGCCATTGAAAATATATTGATTGGGGATCAACTAATTCAGAATTTAAGATGACTCACCAGGATTAGACAGGCCAGAGACTTGCTTTGTGTGCTCTAGAAAGGAAAGAATTGCAAAGAATATTAAGACTGCCTACAGAATTTTAGGAAGGGAAGAGGAGAACATTATATTAACTAGGAAAAGAAACTCTTTCTCTGTTTTTTAGAAATACTCCTTTATACAGAAGGATTTTTGTCTGAATAGAAATCCTTAAAGAAAGGCTTTGTGAAACCTGATCTTGGCAACACATATTTTTTTGTAGCTGTGAACAGCTGCTTTGCCTGCGTCAGCCATGAAGCTGATCTGCCTCTCCCGAAGTCTAATACATAGGAAAGACTAAAGTAATAAAACTTTCAGCCTCCCTAGTAAAGCCATGTGAACTACATAGTGAGAGTCCATTTGACATCCATCAAATCAATAAAGTTTGAATAATTTAAAAGAAGATCTGATTTTCAGGTTCAAGATTGAGGGCGTACAGTGTCTATCCTCTCAGCCCAAATCCCACTGAAATTAGAGTTGAGATGTGCACATATGGATATACAGTAGTAATAGCCATGGAGTGACCACCATAAACAGATAGAGATTTGACAGACTTCCGGAGGATGGATTGCGGATGGAATCATTTTTAAAGAACATGCCATAGCAGAGAAAACAAGAGCTCAGGATTTGCACGAGAAGACTTCATCAAAGGTGAAAGTCACCATTTCCATCAGCGCCCTGGAGAGGTGCCAACCTTGTATCTGGCAGATTTGTAGAGCAACTATGAGCTATGGAGCTGAAATCAGTATAATTAGTAATGAGGCCTTCTGCAGAACAGCTGAAAGATGCCTGCCCACTTTGCTATCCTGCACGCATACAGAGTGCTAGTCTGATGGCATTTGGCCTCTGAGCAGAAATTAGAGAACTCTTCTCCAAGGAGATGTGACAAAACTGGCAGACAGTGGGGAAAAGGAAGAATGAGTAAATTTAAAATAGTCATATTGTCATGTGATTTACTGAGAAATGGCATCTGTGAGAATTTTTTACTAAATGGTATATATACTTATCTCAGATGTATTTAACCTAATAGTTATCAAACTTTATTATTCATAAAAAAAATTAGGGAATTGAAGATTCTCAAATGTAACTGTTCACAGAGTACTGGAGGACCAAATGAAAAAGTTAAGTACAAGCTCCAGAAAGTCTGATTCAGTAGGCTGGCAGTGAGACCTAGGAATATGCATTTTGCACAAGTACTTGCCCATCCCCCAGCTATGATGTAGATCGTGGAGAACAGAGTAAAAGGGAAACAAGTAGCAGGTAGTTTGTATACCCTCTTCTACTTGCATCTTCACCCTCATCATCTCTCTTCATAGAAGGCCTTCCCTACCCATCCATATTTATTCCTCTCCTATCCATACATCAAAATCAACTGAAAGTCTTCACTTGCTTCCACTGAAATCTCTCTCCTCTGAGAGAGCCTAACTACTTTTTCTTTCCACCCATATGGCAACTGTGCACTTTTTAAACATTACCTGTATTATATCATTGAAATGTTATTGATGCATCTCATTGTAATTAACATATTCCCAAGTTTCTCTCTTGTCTCACTAAATAATTTAACTTAGTCAAGTGCTTTGACTACACTAACAGTACCAATAATTTATAAATTAATTAAGTTGATACTTCATCCTTCCCATGCCTTCTATCATATCACTCTACAACAAAACCTAAAAAATCCAAATAGAGTGAAAGGGAAACATAAGCAAATTCTGGAACCATGTCAAAAAATTTTATATCTCTATTTATCATGATTTAATGAATTCCAAGTTCAATGGCAGCGATGTTGAAACATAAATTCTTGGAACCCATAATCCTCGGTCCTCATGTTTCTCAAAGTACCTATTGTGTATAGATATGCAGGATACATATCACCCATGTCCAAAAGAAACTTTTAATCCAGTATGAGAAATAAAATAAACATCAAAAATTAAATCCAAAATTAGGTTCTCTAATTAGAATTTAGATACCTACAGAAAAGCATTGGTGTATTTTGATATAATATAATCCTAAGAAGACTGATTTATAAGATTTTTAGATGATCACTTATAGTCATAATAATCTTGAATTTAAAAATGTTTTTGATGTTTTAAAATGTATTGTTTTCATATTGCAAAAGCCAAAGATACTGATGTTACTAAACAAAGACATTAAAGACTAATAATTTAGTGTTCCTCAAATTCCTCATCCTCTTCTACTCGTTACAATCCTCTTCCCAGGGCAAGCTTCTGTCAATAATTTCTGTGAATTATCCCAGGGAGGGTTTCTATATAGCTGTAAAATAATGGTGATATTTATGGAGTATTTGTTTTGTACAGAACACTTAGGCATATGTTTTAATCAGACCATCTCACTGACTCTCATAGCTACCCTGTTTTATAGACCATAAATATCTTCATTTCACCAGTGAAGGAACTAAGACTTGGAGAAATTAAATAACTTGTCCATAGGCATGAAGCTAAACTCCAACGAAACCAAGATTCAAACCAAAGTAGAATAGCTCCATCCTCTGACATCGCTGCACCAGAATATAACTGCCAAAATATATATCGAATCATATATAGGAAATACATTAATGAGACATGCTTAAACAAATATGACTTGCATTACATAAATGAGATCATGTTACATACATTTTGCTATGACTGTGAGCATTGAATGAGCTAGGCTAAGTGGGTGCCAAGCCTGGTAAATGGTGTAAAGTCTCAAACAATCTCCCTCTGACTTCTAAACACACTGAGGCATTTGGTCTGAAGTTATCTCTATTCGCCACAACCCCTCACACTTACTAGGTGCTCAATAAATATTTCTTCCAGCTTTTTTTTCACATTTTAGATAGTCTTCAATTTAGCTTTTAAGAGAAACATTCTTCCTTCCCTCTTCTATGGCAAACTGTTACTTATTTTGTTTGTATATATTTACTTTTAGAATATAATTAATTAATTGAGGATCTCCTGTACTGAGTTTTAGCCTCGAAGCCAATTTGCCAACACACACAAGAATATGTGGCAAGAAACTTGATAATATCAAAAAATAAGACCTCATGGCACCGGGGTAATATATTTTTGATACATACTTTTTAGTGTATATATATATTTCTTATAGTATATATATATATATATATGAAAGAGTGTGTATGTGTGTGTGTATATACACACACACTCTTCCCAGGGGTATTCATAATTTTAAACAAAATAAATAAATATTTAAACAAAATAAATAAATAAATAAATATTAGTTGCTAACCATACTGTCATATTATACCTTTTTTCAAACAAATTTAGGCTAAGAATACTTTATTTTATGTAAGAGAGTTTATTTAAAATAAAATAAGATAAAATTTATCTGATCAAAGCTACAATAAATGGCTGGTGGGAAGACAGAAGATGGGAATTTATTTGCCTCTTTGGATACACTAGAAGCTAAACAGTTTCTAGCTAAATGGTTTCTGGAATTCCATACTTTTATACCATTTTCAGGAGGTCTCTTTATATACTAGCTACTACTGTACTAAGGAAGTGGTCAGATACTTAATCAAGGAGGAGTTCCTTTCAACAGATAATGGTCTTAACTGTACTCACATGTATTATAGGAAATTTAGCCTGTCTCAAAGTACAGTTCATGGACAACCTATAACAGAATCACCCATAGTACTTGTTAAAAAATGTCATTTCCTGGGCAAATAGAGAATATCTCAAGTGTTATCTGGAATCTTGCATTTTTAACAAACATTCCACTTGAAGCTTATGTCCTTGAAATTTTAAGAACCATCGATATGGATTTTACAGTAGAATCATGCTGCTGAAAACAGCAAAATGCATTGAAAAGAATGTTTAAATTAAGTCAGAATTTTCCTAATTTTTAGTGCAAAAATAATAGAGCTATATGACTTTTGCCAGGAATCTTCCTTTTGAATGAATGACTTCACTTAAATGCCTTTGTGTATGGAAATAAAAGGGCGTTAATATACATTTTGATGCAACATGTCACAACTCCTCATGTCTGGGTAATTTTGCCAGCAATAACAAGTATAGCCTTTCCTTTAAGAAATTAAATGTTAGATTTTTCACACTTTGTTTTGCTTTCCATAACAGGCATCTTCTTTGCGCAGGGCAAATTATCAAGTCTTCACTGGTTTGTGTTTTTCCTCTATGATGAGAAATTGCAGTTTTTGAATCTCTTACTTTAGAATGTGTTAAATCAAGTCCAAATTTCTGGAGGAAACAGTATACAGAATGAATTTGAACTGAGTCTATAAGCAGGGAGGAAGCCCAAATTGAATCAGAAGTGAAATTACACTTTGATTTCGTTATCTCACTCTCCCCAGAAAAACTGTTCCACAAATGGTGGAAAACAATGCTTCCAAACTGAAACAGGAAATAAAATTAAGTTCTGATTTTGTGGCATATGGGTCCACTGCAGGTTTGACAGAGGGGCAGATGAATTCCATTAAATACCGGTATTAATTGCACACATACACACCCTGTGTTGGATGAGGAACTGCACTGGATGATGTCCAGTAGATAAGGCATGGGCTCTGTTCTCTTGGAGACAACAATCTGTGAGTGAGGAAAAGCATGACACAACATGGAAAGTGAGAAATGTTGTAAAGGAGGCCTGGGGAAAAGGCAAGGGGATTTCACAGAAAAACAAGACTATTTTGGAATGCAAAAGAATTACGAAAGTCTCCAAGTAACGTTCACATTTGAAATTTATTTTGACCAATTAGACAAGGGAATGAGAATTCAAAGTCAAACGCTTTGACAACTCCTTCTCCCTCCCCTAACATTTTTGGCTGTGTCACAGTCTCCTTAGTGGAAGACAAGGTCCAAGCAAATAGAAAATTGCCACAATATTTTGCAACCCTTGCCAGTTACAGACATCCTTGTACTGGAAGAATAAATTATACCATTGCCCAATCTTATGACCTTTTACCATGCATCAGTGGGCAGTAAGTATAAGAGGTGAGGTAACATAGGTAAAGCAATGTTGAGATGTGTACCCTGTCTGTCAGTGGGAGATTCCATAAGGTCTACAGAAAATCTACAAGCTCACAGGCTCAGGGAAATCAGTGTAGCAGACAAACTGCAACCACTTTCCTGTGAGTACATCCTTTGTCTGATACAGAGTCCTCCCCAGACGTCCTCCCAGACCTTCCTGAAGCCAGGGCTACTGAGATCATGTGTTTCTCTTCCCTGATTACTGTTTACTTCATACACTTACGGTTTGGGTCATCATATTTAAAAAAATAACACATAAAGGGGTTCAATCCCCAATGTTTATTTAACTCTGTTTAAATCGTATCATACGCACTATCTGGTCAAAGTCCAGCTGGCATCTTGGCCCATCAGGCTCTTTCAGTGATATGGATGATAGCATTGTTCAGACTTCTCCGGACCGTGGTCTTTTCTACACTATGGTTCTGACCTGTACATTATCTCCTTAACTCACTGATTATATCTGTGAACTATTGATATAATAATGCTAAGTAACAACCAACCAGATAACCTTAGCAGCCTATTAAAATATACATTTATTTAGCTCATACCTCTGTGGATCAAATGGGTATTGGCTGATCTAAGCTGGGCTCAGTTGAGTAGCTCTGCTGGGATTAGCTGAACTTGCTCGTGCATCTCTCATCCTACTCCTGGGACCAACAGGCTAATCAGGGCATGTATCACTCCCGAAATGGCACAGGTACACAGCAGCAAGCAGAAACATGCTAGGCTCCTTAAGGCTGAGGCTGGAAACTGGCAGGCTGGTTTCTAGCTCATTCTGTTTTCAGAAATAAATCACCAGTCCCATTCTGTTACCAAAAACAAATCACAAGGCCAAACTCAAATTCAAGAGGCAATGAAATATGCATTGCCCTTTAGAAGGAGGAACTGTAAAGTCCGACGGCAAAAGGCACAGATACACTCCCCCTGAATGAGGGGTTTCACCTGTATACTTCCTTAACACACAGTGCCTACTGCAACCTAACAGCACAATGTAGTAGAGGGTCTTATAACGTGTTTCCCCCAAGTGAGGATGATCTTCATTAAGGCAAGTACTCTGCCATATTCATCATCACAGTATCTCCAGAACCTTGAATAATGCTTGATGTGTAGACACTAACATTTCCTGATTGACAGATGGCAGGGAGGGAGGGAAGGAAGGTGGGACGAAGTAAGATGCTCTCAAACACAGGATAGCATTGTGGTCAAACAACCACACTGAAGGTATAGCATGATTTTATTTGCCATGTTTTTTTTAGGTCTGGTACCATTTATTTCTTTGTTTTTACTCCCCTAAAACTATCTGAAAACAAATTCTTACTAATACCTGAAAATAATCAGAGATGAACAGAATATACACTTAATTTTTTTCCCCAAATTTCCTCCATGCAAACTCAGATTAAGATTCTTCCTCTCTCCGCATGTCTTTTCCAGTTTTGGAAGGAATAATATGAGTTGTCATGACCAATATTACTGGACATGTGATAAAGTGAGGAAAGGCACACACTTTGTCACTTGGCAGTGGTAAGAAGTTACATATATTTAAAGGCTGCTAATATAATTAGGTTCCATGCATTAAGTCAGATTCATTAAGAGGCTAGGACATTTAGGATTAAGCAATGAGGATTTCTTTACAGGTCTGTTTGGGTAAGCTTCTTAAAATTAAACCCCCTTAAGGCTCTTCCAAGCTTCAGTTGATTCCATATGTAAGATTTTACAACTAATGATGGTCAGTTCTTTGTATTTGTAGATTTGTTTCTTTTTAAACTCAAAGAAAAGAGTTCCATTTACTTAACAGTACTACTAATTACCAGATGACTAACACTACATTGCCCACTACCATTATGGCTTGCCTGGCAAAGTGCTAGGGGATTTACACACATTATTTTTAATCCTTCAAGTAACCCACTGAGGAAACAACTTTTGTCCTTTACAGGAAAGGAAACTGAGGCTTAGAGAATTGGTGACATGCTCAAACCAATACAAAGAAATGCCAGTCAGAATTTAAATACAGATTAATATGATTTTGAAGTATGTAGGTTTTCTTTGTAATAGATGGTTATATCCTGCATTTTAAAACATTATTACTTATTTTTAAAAAGCAATGTTTTACTCTTAAACCAATAGAATAAAATCTTGAAGTTTCAGGTAACACTGAAATTCCTAACTTGTTCCCTGTCTGACAACTGGTGGATGCTAAGCTCACATGTAGTTGTTGATATTCAAACAAAATGTGAACTGCTTAATTGCTCAGTACTTGGAGTGAGACACATTAGAAAAGGCAAAGTGCACCGATAATACAAAATTAACCTAAACTCTGTGTATTAGGCAAAATACACCTTACATATTATCTCAGATTTTCAGGTCACACGTTTTTCATTTATTTATTTTTTAAAGCTCTAGTCATGTTTATTAGGAGAATAAAAGAAGGCATAACAGAATGGAACAGATTTAGAGAATACAATTTTATTTTAAATGGCACATTAAGAAATCAAATGGCTTGGGACTCTGTTTCTGTCCAATTCCCAAAGTTCCTAGATGTTAAAAAGAAAGATTCTCTTTTCTTTTTTTCTTCCTACTTCCTTTCTTTCCTCTTATTTTTCCTTTTAAGAGAAGAAGGAAAAGTAATCATTTGGGCTTTTTTTCTTAAGTTTATTAACCAGACATTTGAACAACATTCATGGAATTTTAAATAAATGCTGAAGACAATTGTGCACAATCCCTTTTTTCCTCTCCCAACCCCTATAAAAGGTGCTGAGAAAATGGGATAACACAGGTAGACTAAACACCAAATAATTATCTCCATAATGAAAGGACAGTGCAATCCAATGAATATGTCTTATCATTACATTAAAAAGGCATTTAAAAGTGAACTGTAATCTTTAGACAATGCTTCAGAATTACAAATTGCAAGATCAAAAATCTAGAGCCAGGAATGGCATTCAATTGGCATGAAGAGAAAGATTGGCACTATGTTTTTGTTTATTTTTACTTGAATCAGGACTGCCCTCGCAAGCATTTAATTTGTATAAACACACGCATTGGGTTCAAGTGAGGACTAATTAACATGTAATCAATGCTATTACAAATGCCTTAACCCACACATAAAATTAGGAATCCACACAAAAAGTCCAAATGGAAAGGATCTAAATGGGAAATCTGAGTGGCAGAGCAGTCAGTAAGCAGACAAACGTCACTTTGCTGCATAGTGATGAGTCCTCATTTGGCACCATAACGACAAAGAACAAAGTGTAAGCAGCAGAAAACAAGCACTCCATTTTTCTAATCCTAAATAAAACTCTCAATGACACATATTACTAAGTAAAAAATTTTGGATTTTTTGGAAGAGACAGTGAGTATGCAGCAGAGACAGGATTTCAGCTATGTGTCTGACTTGGACCGCCATACCTATTCAACCTCATCACTTTGTGGAACTGTTCTCATCTGCCATTGTACTAGCACGTTTTCCTCCTAAGTGGATTCTTTCTGCAAAATTGATGGTTGAAGCCTTAATGCCTTTATCCAACATCCTACTGTGGATATTGCCTACAATGTATTTCTGACCCAAACATGTACTATCATCACTGGCTATACTACTAATGCTTCTAGTTGTCTGATGTGCTTTCTTTAATTGCTACTCTTATGCTGCAATAAAGGAGTACAGTCATCATTACAAAAACAGAATGGAACCCAAGATACAGATAAGATTCTTAAGAAATAATGATAAAACAATGAGATGAAGAAAGATACTACTTGAGCATGTAACATGAGCTACAGAGATATCACTCACCTGAAATTCAAAGGGTAATGTTTCCCTTCACATGTATAAAATAAAAACTCTGTCAAGAAATCCCCAAAATATGAAAACACACTGCTAGGAGACTCATCTCTACCCCACAGCTCTGTATAGAAGGTGATATTATCCCCAGTTAACAGATGAGACTAAGGAGGATGAGAGAAGTTAGTTAAGTTTCTAAGGTCCCAGAACTAATAAAATTTAGAGAATTGCTTAATTCCTGAATTCTAAAGGATTCCTAAGTAATGCCTGACATAAAGTATGTACTCTCAACAATGCAAATTGTCTCTCAACCAACCACTCCTGTAGCCCCACAACAGGTTTCTTTTGGTCACATAGGCTGTGTTCAGATATGAAATTGAAATTCAATATAGTCACACCAAAATGAAAAAACAGATTCTGACTTCCAAAGTGAAAAATCTCAGAAGCAAAAATGGAAGATCATATAATCACATCCTTTGGGATATCTTTCTTTAATCTCCAAACTGGCTGAGAACCCTCCTCCATTTATTCCTTCATCAGAGACTCACCACTTTACACTGAGATTGTCTGGTATTTGCCCTTGTCATCTTATCAAACTGATGGAAGCTAGACACCACTGAATTTAGGACCTTATTCACCTGAAATGGTTTCTAATATATGGGCATTGCACATAAATGCTTGTTGACTGAACTAGGTGAATCGTCACCATTGGGGTCTTCAATTTTGCCAGCATTTTAGGAATTTTCAATATTTTGAGTCCATGGCAACCTGGAGAGCCCATGAC